TTATTTTTTTTTTATTTTTCTTGATTGTTGGGTGAGTGGAGTATACTTCTCGGTCAGGAGGCGCCCTCTTAACTGCTCGTCGACGTTGTTGCAGGTAAAGGTGGGTGAGGGCGTGAACAGGCACTCGGCGCCGGGCCTGCTGTCGCGCTGCTTCGGCCGGAAGGGCGGCCTGCTCGCCAAGTCCGCTGCGGAGGCCAAGCAGAAGGCGCAGCAGGTTGCGCAGGCCGCCCGCGACGGCAAGGCGGGGGACGCCGACGAGAACGGGCTGGACGGCGTGTCCGTGTCCTCGGCCGGCGACTGCAACGTCGGCATCGAGGTGTTCGAGGTGGAGGTGCGGCGCGGCGACCCGGACCAGGACCTTCGCCGGCTGCCGCCCACCGAGTCTGCCCTGTAGCTCGCCGTCAACGATAGCCGTCCACGCGCTCAACCGAGAGGACTGTCGCCCGCGGAGGGCTTCCAAGCGTCGCGTCTCGCCCTGTCTCGGGGCTGTGCGGGAGATGGACGTCCACACGTAGGCGTAGTGTCGTAGGGACCGAGCTTCTGGACGTTCCTTTCCTGCCCGCCCCACTCGCCCCGCCCCGCCCCGCCCTGCCTGCCGGGGAGGGGGCATAGAGCCTGCCTCTCTCCCCCCGCGACAGCAGTCGGGCCGGGAGCCACGTGCCGCGCGCCGAGCCGAGTGACAACGGCGTTCATTCCTGGGAGCGAGAGCGAGATGGAGCAGCGAGATTTTCGCCTCTGCTGGCCTCGGCTGGTCGTAAGTAGGGCTTACCTCCCTGTTTGCGAAACTCTCACCACACGCGGGTGAGAGAGACGGTGGTACCTCAGAGTGCTGGCAAACTATTATTATCATCGTGAAGACCAAAACCAAACGTGCCAATTTCGTGCCAGGTCGGCATGAGCGAGTGTATTGTGTTTTCCCTAACTTGACAAAAAAAGGGGGGGAGTCATTATTGTTGATCCCTCAAGCTCCATAAAGAAACTTCGTTTCATTTTGATAGCAGGAAATAATAATGATAATGGATTAAAGAGGTTGTTAGGGTAGGTGACCTTGGTTAAAGTGATGTAGTTTTGTACGTGGTGTAAAACTTAACTGCCTTTGTGTTAATGTTAATTGGTATTTAAATATTAGAGAATCAGTATGTATATGTGAAAAGTTTCGTTAAACTTCTATCAAAGATTATTCTTCCCCTTCCCACTAATTCTCCATTTCGTCACGTAATTTTTAGTGTGCTGCAAGAACTCTAGTTTTGCTTCATGGATACAGCCTTGTAGCAGGAATTTGGTATTGTAAAAAAGACTGGACGTTTACAAGTTAAAAATCCAACAATGTTGGAGAGATCACCGACTACTTTCAGCTAGAATATATATTGTCCTGTGATAATAGTTGCATTAAAGTCACTACCTAAGAATCCACTGGAAATTTCCAAATAAAATATTATTTAGGGGACATGTTTGTCAAGACCATTTAATCAGGAATGCTGATATTCAGATGTAACAGCCTGTGATAAGGAAACTATGCATGCCAATGGTAGATTTTTTGGGGGTCGTACTTTAACTTTCTGTGATAAGAGAATGAGTTATGTTAAACAAAGAATTGTTTGTAAAGATAATTCGTGAACTGAAAGAATTTCCTGAAGTATGTCATGGGCCCAGCTGATAATTATCGTATTTACACGATTATGAGCCAGACCGAAACTTTTTTTGTTGATCTATTTCTGAGACGCAACTTAAAAATCGTGGCAATTTTTTCATGAATCTTTTCGTGGTTTTATCGTCTGCATGGTTTCTGCAGGAATATACATATATGTAACATAATTGGATATAAATTAAACCATTTATGAAAATTGTATTGAAAGTATAAAGGTTTTATTTAAGGTACTGCTGACAGTGTGTGACTTATAATCGTGTAAATACGATTCATAGTGTTCATGAGTGTTAAAGAAATGACTCTTGAACAAAAACCGCGTCATGCGGTCAAGTGCATACAAAGAACACATTTCCTTATGAGTCGTCATTTCTTTCAACACTGAGAGCACTAAGTCCAATTAGAAGTCGTCAATACTTTACTCATATTTTTTTCCATATTATATGGTGGTCCACCTGTGGAGGTGGCCATATTATGTAAAAGTAAAATTGCAAGGACTAAGTCTGGAGAAAATTTAAATTCAGTCATCATTTCCCAATGAGAAATTTATCCGACGACATCGTTTCGACATCGTTTTTCACGTCGTTACGACTTAAAAGTGGTCATGAAATCGACTGCTTTTCGACAGTGAAAAGTCGAAACGACATCGAAACGACATCAGCTGTCGAAAAACCGTCGATTTCAGGACCACTTTTAAGTCGTAACGACGTGAAAAACGATGTCGAAACTATGTCGTCGTAAAAAATTTCTTACTGGGTTTCGACAGCGTTGACAGCTCTAGGACTTCAATATTTCAACAATGCCAGCCCAGGTCCACAGTTTTTTTGCCTACTTTGTTTTGAATCAGAATAAATACTGTAACATAAAAGGAGAGTATTGTTTCTTCTGTCTTGGGCCTGATAGGGCGTACTGTAACTGAAAATCTAAAGTAAGTTTAATAAGACTATCTTCCCTCTGTCATATCAGCCACAAAGCACAAAAGTGCAAAACCACAGTGCCCCCTATTAATACGTTCGGTACGGCGTCTGATTTAGGGGAGGGAAGAAAACATTTGGTCGTGACCACCTCGTGGTCATACTGGTTTGTTGGTACAACCGGGTTTTCATGGGGGTATTTTGTCCTCACTGGACAAAAGTAAACACCAAATGACAAATTTGTATGTGGCTTTTTTTTTTCAAAGTGTCAATACTGGTGAAGTCGTGTGTGTAGTTTTAAAGCTTTTTGTGGCAAGTTTTAAATTTAATGCGTATGTTTGCTGCACTTTTGAAATTCGTCGTTAAAATTATTGATTATTTTTAAATTAAGACAGGTTTGGTTGTAGAATGTTTTCTGATGCATTTTCAAAATTGTAATAATAACAGTTCCTTCCATTTTACTTTTCTTGTTGAATTCCAACATTCTTTGTTGGAAATTTTATTTGTGACAGAAGTATGTGCAGAGTATGCTGGAACAACCAAACAGGGTAGGAATGCAAAGTGCTTCTGCTAAGTTCAGGTTTCACCCGTTTTCAGATGACAAGATACGTTTGAAGATATTTTTGTGCTTGCGTGAATTAAAATTTAAAGAAAAAATGATAAGGGTGTTACAAATTCTTTAGTGCCTGTCTGTCTGTCTGTCTGTCTGTCTGTCTGTCTGTCTGTCTCTTTTCTTTACAGCCACACACAATATGCGCTCGAAAGTTAATTGTTCCTGCGAAGAGTCCCTTTCCATCATCCTCTCTCGTTCTTTCTCTCTTCGGAACGGGGCAAGTGGTTAAATGTGCGCGCAAGTGCACTCCTCGTGGCCTCGTGGCGGGACAGGGCCGGTCACAGATGCTGCGTGCCACCGGGAGGGAGAGGGGGAGGCGGGAGCGGTCCGCGCGCGCGCTTCAAACGCCGCGACCACTGTCCCTTGACCAGCCCGTCGGCGAGCCGCTTCGCCCGGCCGATCAGGTTGAAGCGGTGCAGGCGCAGGCGGTGCAGCCAGTGGAGGCCCCGGGGCACGGGTAGACGTTGCAGGCGGTGTTGCACGCCCTGCAGGTCCAGGAAGGGCCCGGCGAGCACCAGCGCCGTCTTGAGCAGGTAGTACAACGCCTCGACCCCGCTCACCATGGAGACGCCCATGACCAGGCCCGCGATGCTGCCCATGACCGCTGCGAACACATAAGT